ACTGTGGGGTTTACCTTGTTCGTCATACACAAAGGTGTGTGATAAAAGTAACCTCAAGGGATTGATTAGCGACCAGTCAAAGGGTGCCATCTGATACAAAGAAATGGATTAATCTAGGTATTGATGGGGTTCTAATACACAATCATATGCCGTTGGCTATTTGTAAAACTAAAACATGGTCGACATCTCTTAAGGCGTATGGTATGACACTGGAATGTAGTCTATTTGTTTTACTTTAAAACCGTGACACATTTAGGCCAGTAATTCACAAACAGGCGCCTTATTTTGGTGCTTATGTCTTCGACCAGATGTTTCAGTTCCGTTGCTCGATTGCAATTGCTGTCGTTTTGACTAATTTGTTAAGGCCACTCATGACTTGTTGCTCACCTTCATTCTAGTTCAATTAAACCAAACCATGTTCATCAGGTTTCCCTTTTCCCCATCCGGCAGTGATTATCCTCATATCAGGTTAGTGGCGTCGGTTCAACTGCAGTAGGCAAATTGACTGGTTTATTATTTGCGGGTAATGCTAATGCGGGAGGGTCCAAGTAATCCACAAACTTTTCTGAATCGTTTTTGTTTGTGTAGTTATGTTTCACATGCCTTCGCATATACACTGGGTTTTGTAGGACTAGATTAGTCCCACTCCCAGTCTCACTAACGAAAAAGGCAATGGGTCAGTTCTTAGGATGGTGCATCTCGTCTGGCGGAATTATCTTAAATACGATCTGGTCACTGCAACTGGAACATAAACGCAGACTATCGTTGTTAAAATGTCGATGTCTACACCACATAACATTAATCGGGTGGACAAACAGTTCGGACGTTAGATGCAGAGTTCAAGATAATCAAGGTTAAACACTGACGCAAGTGGTTGATCTCCAAAGATTGCATGTTATTCATGCCAGCGTGCGATTTTTGCGGAGGCAGGCAGTGGGCAAAGAAATGCTAGAGTTGGTCAGAAAGTATGAAAATCCTGACTAGAGTGGTCGTTTATAGTTAGCATTCATTTTCCTGGTTAGGGGACTTCTTGAAAAATAAATCGATGGCTGGAGACACTGAATGATATGGCTGTTGTAAACAGTGTTGGCCTTACTTCTATCCACTTTTTACGCAGATACAATTCACTTGGTTTAATTTCTCCCGATCACTCCCTAATTTTTTATTAGAAGGGGGATACCGAAAAGCAGTAACCTAAACCCGCGCACTTTAGTGCAAGGTTAATAGTTATTAAAACTGAAACTGAATCTTCAAGACTGAAGATGTATATTATATTTATATTTCTCATACGCCTGAGGCCAGATTATATGCCAGGCAGCTCTGCTGTCCGGTTCAATACCACGCCTAACCTATCGGGGCCTTAGGTGGTTCGCCACTCTAAGTCCCGGGGCTTAGGTTGCCGATTTCAATCACTGAACAGCAGGTCCTCGTGACTATTGGGTCCGCCCCGTCTGCTGTTCATCACACCTAGATGTAATTCAAAAAATCACGGTACAATAATCTTTATAAAAAAGAAAAACATTCCATTTGCACGTGGGCTAAATACTGCCAGGTTGCCAAAGCCACGGCAGGTGAATTTCTCGAGAAATCCGGAACCAGAGCCTTCGGCTAGCCAAAGCCTGACCCGTAAGGCAGGTATATATATATA